AATTGGAGTGAGAGTTGCGCATCACTTGGTATTCAAAAGTTGTCTTTTAATTACCTTTGCCTTTCTAGCTTTTGCCTAGCAATGGAAGGGCAATGAACGATAAGCTTGTTTGCTTGTCGGGGCATGAACAGGCAGCCATGTCTGGATAAACGTGCTTCTAAACTAATTGAGTGTGGTAACTATCACTCTCTTTCTCTCTGCCTCTTCTTAATTTCACTCGTTTTGTTTATTCTTATCCTTTCTGTAGTCACAAACCTTGACTGATATTCTCCAGCATGTCCTCTGCTAAGCATGTCGTTCTATATAAACACAGATGGGATTTGTATTATAAGTATATATGGTCAATTATATTCTTATTTTGGCCTAGTTTTGCTAGCTCTTTTGTCTGTTTTTATTTATTCTAATGTTTGATCAACGAGTCAAACTTATGGGGCATTTCACTTCTCTTTTCCACTTTATCCGACTTCAGGACATTTTCTTTTTCAAGTTACGAAATGCCAGGTTCTTCCTCTTAATTTGATTGTGATGGAAAACCTTGTGTTAATCGCAGTCTTTAGGGAAAATTTTCATATACACTATATTTACTTCATGAAAAAGAAATTAGACTGATTTGGACTCTAAGCTTAGCACTGCTTTATATTCTATGCTCCTGCAAAGTGTTTAGTGTTTTGCATTTGACACCTTTTCTTTGAAATCTTGTTTTCCTTTTCTCATGATAATGAGCATTTTGCATTTCTGATTTCCTGCTGCTTTTTGCTCCTTTTTTTTCTGGTCAAGAATTTGAGACCAAAACTCTAATTCCCAACAATTTTTCTTTGGTGTGGCAGGTAGAAATTGGTATAAGACAGATGTTTATGGGGTCTTTTAAGGGCCTGACGAATGCCAACATATGGCATGAGAAGCTGAAATTGAAGGGTTTGCTTTCTTCTTATTTATTCCAAGAACATTTTCCAGTTCATTATAGTCACGTCCTTCAGGCTCTACCACTTCCAGAATACATGGACCCCATTTCAGGTGTTCTAAACATTGCTGCAGATTTGGGCCAGGAAACCTCAAAGTCTGATCTGGGTCCTTGTCTTTATATCTCATATGGAAGTGGTGAGAATCTTTCACAGGCTGATTCTGTGACAAAACTGCGTTATAATTCATATGATGTGGTAAGTGTGGCTCTATTTAAATTATATCACAGTCTAATCCTCTTAAGATTTTTCCCTGAACTTCGATTTTAATTTACTTTGTGATTTTCTTTTTCCTATTCTTTTTCTTGATTGGCACCACACACGATGCATGCTTGGTACACAATTGCTTTCTAAAGCATTTTAGAAAGCATGCAGCATTCTGAGAAGCAAGGATCAGAAATTGTTATGCTTCCAAATCTGTAACGAACCATCTCCTTGATTTCTTCCTTATGCTCTGAGCAATATGTGTATGTGACAATGTCCAAGTAATATGTTAGCATGGATTGCTACCTATTTTATAACGTTTTTTCGAAAACAATTCAAAATCTGTGCTTATATATAGTTTCAAAGTAATATCAATTATTGGTCTCATCATCTAGGTGGGTGAGCCAAGCAAAGACTGAGATTATTGTAATTAGTGTTATTCTGTAATTGCTGTATGCAGTGACTTGCATTCCTTTTTTCTTATATAGCACCTCTTGCCTCTTGAATCTTTATTTGTCACAGCTTCCTGCTTACTTGCCCCACAATTTTAGCATATTTTGTAATGGTTTCTGCAAACTTGTTATTCTGTGAAGAGTTTACAAAAAACATGAATCATTCATTTGTCTTTCCAATTTCAGGTTAATATTTTGGCACATGCTACTGATGTCCCTGTATCTACAAAACAGCTTAATTACATAAGGAAGTTAATGACAAAGCACAAGGACCAGAATAAAGAGAGCGGAGAAGCACCTTTAGATGAGGAAAACATTGAAGTGGAATTGCATGATATGTTCAGAGAAGATATGCAAGTAAACAAGAAAGTTGCTAGAGTATCCTGGTTCTCTGCTGCAAGACATGAAACTCATGCTTCAAATCTGAAAGATAGAGACGTGTTCCATGATGGGGATTCTGGTTCTGACTCTGATTCTGATTCTGATTCTCACACTGATACTGATACTGAAGTCTCAAAATTTTTCTTGGGACCTGTTAAAAGTTCAAGGTCATCAGATAATCTTAAGTTTCATGGGAATCACTCGGAGACTTCCAATCATTTCATATCTGAGTCTTGTGGTGCCCATTGGGATATCTTTCGTAAACAGGATGTTCCCAAGCTTGTAGAATACCTTAGAAGGCACTCTAATGAGTTCACTCACACATACTTCCAAAAGCATGTAAGTTCTGAATAAGATGTCAGCCTCTATTAGCAGGTCAGAGTGGATGATTTATTTGTCTCTCTCTTGCAGATGGTTCATCCAATACTTGATCAGAATTTCTTTCTTGATGCATATCATAAAATGAGACTGAAGGAGGAGTTTAGTAAGTAAAACTTCTATTTGCCCCTTTTCTTATGATGACAAATTTGAAGTTTTGTTTAAATTTCCACCGTGCCTGATGCTTCCAGAAATTGAACCCTGGAGTTTTGATCAACATATTGGAGAAGCAGTGATTGTTCCTGCTGGATGTCCATACCAAATTAGAAATCTTAAGGTAACAAGTGCAATAATATTGAATTAGTTTTTTAGAAACCTTGTTGTTATTGCCCAAATTTTCTTAGAATCCTTTCATACTCCATTGTTGGGTATTTTTCAAAAAATCTGCTCTATCTATAGCTCTTTTACCACGGTTTCATGTATATTTGTCAAAATTTCCTGATGTTTTCTCTAATAAAAAATCTTACCAGTTGTCCAACATTTTTTAAGCTTACATCGTTACTTGGAATCTGAAGGAGATAGGAAGATAGAGAGTTTGTAACACACTTGATTTTGTCATGTTCAAATTGATTTATTGTCAAATTTTCTGTTTCTGGTTTCAAGATCTGCATTAACTTCTTTGCAATATTGATTACTAATTTTGTTCATTTGACTTGTCATGCGAATTGCAGTCATGTGTCAGCGTGGTTCTGGACTTCCTCTCACCAGAAAATGTTACTGAATGTATTCAGTTGATGGATGAATTACGACAACTTCCAGAGAACCATAAGGCCAAAGTTGACAGATTAGAGGTAAATTATACATGAAGGTGTACACATTTCCTCTCCATCCTTGCCCGTGTGATGAATTCTTCACTTGTTTTCTGTTTTGTTTTTGTTTTTTTTTTTTCTTTTTCTTTTTTTTGCAAAAACCAGGTGAAGAAAATGGCATTGCACAGTATCAGTAGAGCAGTCAGAAAAATTCATGAGCTTACACGGGCAGAGTAAGCGCTTACATTGAAATGCATGAGTTCTGTTCTTTTTCTTCAATCTTTCTCAGTATGCTGGTCATCAAATAATTTAAGATATCCACGTTGTTTCATGATTGTGTGTTACATTGTGCATGAAATTCATCGATTTTTAATAGTTAAAATCAGATGCAGTGTCAGTGTATATTTTAAAAACACATAACCTGGATGTGGAGGCATGGCTTGTATATGTTCAGGAGGATGAACTAGAACCTGCGTGTATGAATATCTTTGATGGTTGCTAATTTGTCGAATACTTTTAGAGGGAGATTATATCAAAATCCTTGTGATGGACAAGAATCACGGAATCAAATAAATTTGACGATCATTCTCAATAAAGAAAAGGGGTGTCCATGTTCCTAGTTTTGTCTTAGGCAATTATTATCCATCCCTTTGCTTATGCTTTCAGATGAACTACTGCCGGTGCGCATCTTACCCCCAAGTCTCCCCAGAAATTGAATGAGGCTTTATCCTCTAGATACTTTTTTAATGACACGAGTGCCAATCAGGTTTTCCTCATGTTTGTAAGCACGATACTAACACATACTGAACTATATGTTATGCTTCAAATGGATATTAAGAGCTTTATTTAGCATGTGTCAGCAAGATTCTTCTGTCCAGGCAATTTATATGTGCTTCATAATTTAGGACCAGCATGGACCTCAATGGCTAGCTGCAAGGACTGAAAACGGAAAGATATGCTGTTACAAAATGAATCGTACAGGGTATTGGTCTCTGCTGCGACTGCTTTTTCTTTTTTCTTTTTTCTTTTTTGGCATGCAGAAATTTTGATACATCTCCTCTCCTCAATGATTAAAAGGCTAATTTTCGCAGATCTCTCATTCTTGGTGAAAAACACCAACTTTTTGTTATCAAAAATTTGCATTGGTTTCCTCATTTACTGCAACAACTTGTACATGGGTTCATTAAGGTTAGCATTTTCTCCCCTTGCTGCAACAGCAACGTATATATGATCGATCCGTTCGACTGTATATAATGACTAATCAGTTTGGTTGTAATAATGATTGATTCTTTAGTTCTTTTCTTATATATATACAACCTTGTGATAGTTTCTTCATGCTGCAGTCATCTGATGCTAGACAAATTGCATGAAAAAAAGCTCTTGATATTCTTGCAAAAATTGTCATTGATTGGAGTAACAATGCTTAGTTTTGAAAGGCCTCCCATCCTTGATGTTCCTTGCCCTCTATAAAGAATGGTTTGGGGTTTCAGCAACGGATTGTTTGAGATTCAATCACGAATCTAAGAGACCCGCTACGTCCAAGAACAGAAAGTGGTGGCAGGCTGCATCCTCATAACCTCCCCCCTTTCAAAGAGAAGAGTCCAGTTTTCCTAAAGAGAGTTAAGTTCAAAAAAGAGTTGTAAAGCAGAATAGCAAACCCACTGTGGCAAGGGAACCAGCGAAATGCATGAATTCTTCAAAATACTGTCGCATGCTAAATTAAAATTAAAGCAAAAACTAAAAGAACACATTGTGAATTTGAATAAGACACATTGTGAATTGGAATAATGAAATATGGGTATTTGCCCCTCCCATTAAAACTCAATACACCTGGTCTTGGGAATATAACATTCTTTTCATAAAGATTTATTTATTATTATAAAATAGATTCGGGTAGATTTGGGTCAAAATGGTTTTTTCATATTTTTTTTATGAGTTTTGAACTCTGTAAAATAACTAATTTATCTTTAAAACCTAAAAATTATAGAACTTATGTGTAAGGGGTTTTTTTATCTTTTCACTTTTTAAATCAAGGTAAAATAATTGAATTACTTTTAAAAGTAAAAAATAAATAAAAAATCTTGTTTCCAAGGTTTTTTTGTATTTTTCCTTTTGATTTTTTTTATTATAAACAATTTCAGTTCAGAATAATTTGATATTTTAATAAATATAAAATATTTAATAATAATAATAATAATATAATAATAATAATAATAATAATAGTCGTTTCCTCTAGCCTTCAAGTGGTATCTTTCCCGACAACATTATCTTAGCGACATTAGAGATAGCGCACCAAGATCTTTCAAGCGGCGTGTCGCATACCAGAGGGATGATTGTCAATGTGGCTTTAAAGACTATTTTTCTTCTCTCTCCTCTTTCTTGCCCTCGGGTTTTATTTCAGTCTTTTCAAAAATTAAATATATCATATTAATTTATATATGTTAATTTTAATCTTAATTATTTTAATTATTATTTATTTTACTTTTAATGTATTTGTAATTGATTTAGTTTTTTAATTTTCTCAATTATTATTTAATTTTATTTTTTATATCTAATTTAATTCTTATTTTTTATCATTTTTCATGATTTTTTTAAATTTTATCTTATTATTTCATTTAATTTCATTTGTATATTAGATTTTATTATTATTTTTATGATTGCTATTTATTTTATTTTGTAATATTTTGATTCTTAAAAGTTTGTTTTGTTATTTTTTCATGTTTACCTCCTATAGAATAATCTGGTTTCTTAATTTAGGTTATAAATTTTAAAAATTAGTTTAATTTAACTTTGATTTTGTTTTAAGTTTTTTTAAAATTAACTTTTTTTAATTTTATCATTTCATATTAGATTATTGAGTCTTAACTTCATGATTATTTTTGCTTTTTTAATATATAAAATTATTGCATTCTCACAACTTGAATTATGATTAAATTCTCACAACTTGAATTATGAATTAATCGAGTTAACTCGAATTAATTTTAGTATTTTTTTTTACATTTCTTATTAATTTTTTTAGTTTTTTCTTTCATCATTTAATTTGTAAATATCATTTAATTTGTGAATAGATCAAGAACTTAACATACCAACTCAAGCTAGGTTTTTTTTGTTTTTTTATTAAAATTAATTATTTTTTTCAGTTCATCTTTCCACCTTGATTTATTGGTAATTAAATTTTAAAATATTTTTATTTTCCTTTTTATACTGTTTATAAATTATCATATTCTTATTCATTTTTTTATTATCAAATAAAATAATTAGAACATTTTAAAATTATATAAAATACATATTTTCATAATATCAATGGGCGTTTATATTTTCACGATTAATTTTTTTTTTTTCAGTTGAGCATTGACTTTTCTTATATTCTTTTTATTAAATTAATAACACGTCCTCCGTGTCCTAGATTTTTCTTCCTCCTTTAAAGACACTACCATACCTAAATAGGAAAGCCATCACCTATATATTAAACTTTCCTCCATACAGGGAAGTTAATGGTCCCTGCAGACACAGACCACGGGGGTACATTGGGGCATCTTGAAACTCCGGCGAACCTTTTAAAACAATCCAGCTGAGCCATTAAATAACAAGATTAGCTGCAGTGGCATGAAATCTTTGAAAGAAAAGAGAGAAGGATAAGAAGCAGGGAGATTGAAAACGAAAAATGTGCTCACATTGCATTGCAGTATTTAAGAACATTAAAGCTGCTCAAAGTGAAACTACTAGTGAATCTTCATCTGCTACTGTTGGGGGGCATCTCAATAAATCCGAATTTCATCTATCACTAGTCACACGTTCACTCGTATCCTGAGGTTGGAAATTCAATAAAAGTCATAGGAACCATCATGAAGCAAACACTGCGAATCAGGCATAGATGGGAACGAGAAGGTAACCTGACAATATGATTTGATGATTATATACTTCAATTTGTGCTATTAATTGAATGCTCAGCCAATTACTGTTTATAATATCACTATGATTGAATGAGCAGGCAACAATGAATTACAATATGGAAATCAACCAGTTCGATGCCACCGGAAAATCTACAAATCCCATAAATTGCCTTTTAGCCAAGATCAAGAGAAGGTAGGTTCTCTGAGAAACAGAAATGATAGCTAACATGTGAATCAACTGAGCTCTTTCGAGCTTCCCACCCATCAGTGAATATGCAGCTTAAAAATAAAAATTGATGTTCTAAGCTTTGAGCTCGCAAAGTCCACAATCTATGTTTTGTTTCTTTCTAACATTACATATTGTACACCTGTTACAAAAGTACTTGCTGTAGTTTATGTTTAGTCATCTAGAAATTCAAATTAACTTCTTGCTATGTATAACTTGTCTCCTGTCATGCCAACATTCACCATCAAAATATCATGTTGGCTACAAGTTTAAAAACCAGCTCAAGTAGCATGTCCATTGCATACAAACGAAAGAAATAATTGAATAGCAAATAATTGTTTGAGATATCTGCCCATGAATTTACTTCTTTTTTTTTAGTTCCTCAACAGGGAAGGGATAAAAGGCTAAATTTACAATAAAATGAAATGAAATGAAAAACTAAAGTAAAGAATAGATTGTCAAGCCTTTATTACATTCCTTTCTTGCCCCATCCTCATCATCATTTTGTTTGTTGGGGGAAATGATATGTTAAATTCAGCACGATAAATACAGAAGGGCAAAATTTCATGGAAAAAAAAGAAATGCTGGAGATTTCTAGGGAAAACAAATGGCCAACTCTTGTTATTTCTTAAAACTGTTATAAAGTCCTTGGACTGTCAAATTTGTTATTTTATAAACAGCATCGTGAAAAAAGAAGAAAAACCTGCTTATGGGGCCATCAACCCATCAATTGTATACGAAAGAGACTTAGCCCAGTCAGCTTGAAGAAGCAGTGTTTGTAATGTTTGCATCACATTGTATTCTGGATCTAGCTTATGCTGCCATCCCTAAAGAAATTGGAAAAACACCAGAAGTAAGATATTAAATTACACACCTGCTAATGATAACAATCACTAATATATTGCAGAGGTCCCCCCCCCCTTATAGCCAGTAGGCATGATATTATATTACACATCACTATTTGGCTGCCTCTAGGGCTCCTTTGGCCAC